GACAAAGTGACAGTGATCAGTGAGGTAAGATTTGAACCATTTGAGAGCAGTTTCAGAAACTCCAAACACGGTCAACAGTGTCAAAAGCAGCACTGAGATCAAGAAGGATGAGTATAGAAAGAGAACCAGAATCAGAAGCTATTAGAAGATCGTTAATGACTTTGGGCAGGGCAGTTTCTGTGCTGTGAAGCTGATGGAAGCCAGACTGGAAGGGTTTGAAAACTTTGTTTGTCATGAGGTGGTTATGTAACTGAAGTGTGACAGCACGTGCTAGAAGTCTTGCAAGAAAGGGTAAGTTGGAGATGGGGCGAAAATTTTTAAGGTTGTCGAGAGCCATGTTAGGCTTTTTTGGCACGGGGGTAATGGCAGCAGTTTTGAGGACCGTTGGTACAATGCCAGTGCTCATGGATTCACGTATAATATTGAGGACAATATGACAGAGAGAAGAGAAACAGGACTGAAATAAAGTGGTGGCAATGGGATCTAAAATAGATGTGGTGGATGTAGTTAAAATAGATGTAGTTAACATTTTTAACTGTTTTATTTTTGTAAATTTGTTCTATATTTATAAAGAAGAATTATATTTTTGAAGATGTTTATTTGTGGAAAACAATGCCTGTGTTACATTTTTCAAGATGTTTACGTGCTTGTTCTCCGTGTTGTTTGTGCGGTGCTCCTCCTCTTATTCCGGTGTGCTCCACATTGATTGGCTGCCAAAATTAGGCGACCTCGCAGTACTTTCGCGGTGTAACGCGGTGTAATGGTCTTGTCTTATGTAAGAAGTTATGTAGTACAGTGATGGGAGACCTCCAAGGAGAACAAGGTGGCTGCTGTCAGTGGTGGACCAGTAGGTGGCACTCTTTATTTGAATTTTCAAAAAAATGCCCCAAAGACCAGAGCTGTATGCTGCAGGTGGTGTCGTTCTTCATATGAAACATAAAACTTAGTCCATAACACTATTTTATGTTTTTAAACATCCCAGGAAACATTTCTTTACTAAGAAATGGATAGGGGGAGTCTAGGAGTGTTAACCCAAGTGTCCGACTAAATTCCACCTTGTACAAGCTATCATTCTCAAAGTTCTCCCTTAACTCAATTGGTGAAGCAATTTTTTACTTAATCTGCCTGAAATGCTACAGGCACATAGGTGCTGCAATTTAGTTGTGGTTGTGTGGGGAGTAATGCTAGCTGGGCAAGTGTAGGAAGCATTTCAGTTATTATTGAAATTATATGCTGCAAGCCAGTTCAAGTGTGAGCTGCTTCCTAAACCATGTATCTGAGCCACACACACTGGAAAATCACTTTCATTACCATGAAGATAATGCACAAGGTCTAGTGCATTTAAAAACAGAAAGAATAAACATGGATGTGGAATGTGATAGGCAGCTTAAGCATGAATAATCAGATATCCTGCTGTAACATGTCATTAATTTGTTTGAAATACTGGTTTAACTAATTTAAGTGGCCTAAAAAACAAACCCAAGACATCTGAAGAAAAATGGAAAATGTTTTGAAAATAAATTAGGTAAAGTTTTTAAACACATGAATACATTGAAATTTAAAGAGTTTAAAATATGCAGAGAACATGCAAGAAAGAAAAAAAAACTGTAAAATGTGTAACAGACAATATGCTGCTCTGTGTCCATAAAGAAAAATCTGAAGAAGCTGAATATCAAATTGCAATTGTCCTTGATGTGAATATGATTAGAATATGTTAGAATATGTTGTTATACTTCATGTTTTTAAAGCACTTTTGGACATCAAGAGTTCCACCTTTATATAGTTCAGATTTCAATTATCATACAGCAACTGAAGTTCACAAATGTTATTAAAATGTCAACACATCTACAAGAAAACATGAAGCCATTTGCAATATCTGTGCTAACACACAGGTAATAAAATTAGGCTGCCAAGGAAAATGAATTAAAATGCATATTCACCAATTAAGATTTGTAGTCACTGTGTATAATCTCTAGATACATAGTGCTATAATCAAATTATACATGATAATTTGATATGGAGGACATTAACACACATACAATGTTGTAGTAGTTTAGTATAGAATACATTAATGATGTAACAATTTAATCAGCTTTTAAAAATCATCAACAATTACAATTATAATTAGTAACAATTTCTATATTATACTTTTCTTCCCTCTGCTGGCGAGATACTGGTTGTACCAGCAATATGGAAATGAGTTGGAAATATGTATATATATTTATAAAAATGTCAGTTTCCTGAAATAATGTGTATAAAACATCAGAAGAAAAACAGTATATGTAGAGTGAATGAAAAGTAAAAATAGCAACACAAAATTGCTTTCTACTGCAAAACCATTAAAAAAGAATGCTGACTCCAGCCTACCTTCTGTGATTTACTTATGGGTGAAGCTGGACTGGAGTGAGACATCTGCGGGCTGAACTCTGCATCTCTAGGCAGTGTCAGCGGTGCATTGCTCTCTGCCTTCACCCTCACTGTATCAGAGGATCTGTGGAGATAGAAATCACACAATTCCCAGTCAGGAAAAACAAATGAACTGTGCTGAGGGATCTTATGTAAGAACAGGAACAAGTAATAGGTTCATTCCAATGCTGAAAAGAGAAGAAAGAAATCTCAACGTTTCGGCCGTGGGGCCTTCTTCAGGTGTGAGCAAGTGTGGAGCCCTCACACCTGAAGAAGGCTCCACGGCCGAAACATTGTGTTTTGTTTCTTCTCTTTTCAGCATGGAATAAACCTATTACTTGTTCCTTTGCAGCCTACGCATGCTGACACAGCTACCCACCTGAACTACTTACGTAAGAACATTTATTTTACACAACAGCCAACAGGGTGCTTTGCTTTAATCAAAATTTTCTATAGTGAAAGTGCAAATCGCCACCTGAGCATATTACATCCATATTTTACCCTTTTGTATTTTATTTCCAATGTGCTCATAAACATGGCAGTCAAAGGCTTTCAAGTTTTTATCTCACTCCTGGGTCTGTGTATCTTTGCTATTATGATTCATTTGTGTTTCTTTGTTTAAAGTTACAAATTATTCATTAAAAACTGTAGTAGTACGGAATTTCCTCATGACCAGTATCAGATGCTTGGTGATGAACCAAATTTATTATTTCTTAAAGGACAACCAAAAATAATTATCCAGATATTTGCTTAGAAGTGGCAAAATAAGGTCTTTACAAAAAAAAAAACACGAGTTATGCAAAATATCCCCAGTATAAAATACATTCAATCTAATGCTGAAACATTGACAAACATGTCCTGGGATGAACCATCATATAGGAAAAAGAGCAAAGGGAAGTCAAAAGGGGAGGAAGTTGAGCTTTGTATTATGTCATCTGGTACAATGGAGTTCTTATTTTGTTATACTACTGTGTATTTTGGAAATGTCTTTTGTATTCATGTGAAACTAGTGCACTTTAACTCTATACATGGTGAGTTCAGGTGCTTGCACAGAGATGAAAGACTGAAAAGAGCAGTGTGCTCTGCTGTATACAGTACATAAGCAATGCCAAAGGCACGTACAGTAATACATCTACTCAGTTAGAAATACTTAAGCTGTCCAACCACCCCATCTAGTGTCAGACTCCACTGTATGACCTTATATACCTGTATTTGCAATGTGAAAAGAAAGCTTTCCCTCATGGAAAATAATAATAACAAATCCGTCAGCCAGAAGTTTGACATACAATTCCACGAGTCCTGTACTAACTAGATTGCATGTCACAAGAACAAGTACTGAAGGTATCGGTGATAAATGTATCTGTTCTCGCAGTGCCAACCAGTGCCGCATTTGAGGGGCCGCAGATCCCAAACCCACCAATCACTGTGCTCTGGGCTCCCAAGCGTCACTCACCATCTTCGGGAAGAAACTGAAATCCCTTCTCTTCAGGATATTACTCCAGAGGGCCCAGTTCTTCTTTTATTACTTCTTGTCTGTCGAGCAGTCCTGGAACTCTTTCGCCCTGTGCAACAACCTAGTCCCTAGTTAACACCTGCAATTACTGTGTTTTGTGGTTTGTTTTTTATGCTACTGTTCTTTTGATAAGATAAGATCACTTTAATGGCCATATACAATTTCTTGCATTAGCAATCTTTTTTCCCCACATACCCCAGCTTGCTCTCCAACCCCTGGGGCAGCTGGGGTGAAGGGCCTTGCACAGTGGCTCGACTGAGTTGGATTTCTCTGCCAGCCACAGGATTTGAACTGGCAACTTTCCAGACATAGGCACAGATCCTTAGCCACAGAGCCACCACATTTTCACCCTTTGAATCTTTACCACTTGTGATTGTAAGTCGCTTTGGACAAAAGATTAGAAATAGAAGTACAGTAAGTGGAAATATTTGTCATTCACATGACACCCATACCCATATTAGTATCGTCCTGCAAGGACCATCCAAACCATCCATCCAAATCTGGAACCACCACATTAGGCTCATTTGGTTCTACTTACTATGCAGTACACCTCTAAAATGTTTTCACATTGAGTCCCTGTTGCTCTCGATTGCACATTTACATACTGTACTGGCTGTTTTTTGTGATGGTACGTACCTATATTCTTTTTACTTAGAGTAAGTTACTTAGAGGTCCCTGCTACGCGCAGTGAGGGCGCTGACGTCACCATATCGAACTAGCTCCGCTACACTTCCAGAAGTGTCAATTTCAGTATTTCTCTACACAATAGTCTAAAAAGTCTGGCTGAAAAAAACATATTCCTCAATCCCATCTTTACAAAGTGATATGAAGTATTATACTTCTAAAGTAGCTTTTTTCTTTTTTAGTGTTTAGAATGTTTGTTTTGTTTGTTTAATGTTTTTCTTTATTAGCCCTATACAATTTCTTGCATTAGGAATGCGTCTTTTCGCATACCCCAGCTTTTTCTCCAGGGAGACACAGACACAGAGACAGGGAGAGAAGCTTGGGGTCAGAGCGCAGGGTCTGCCATTGTACGGCGCCCCTGGAGCAGTTGGGGTTAAGGGCCTTGCTTTTCACTGTGTTTTCATGTGCTGTATACTGTATGTTAATCTTTTATGAGTATTTTTATTGCTAAACCAATAAATGAAAATGAAAAAAAGTCCATCTTTAAGTTGCAAAATAAGCCGATAGTGGAGGAGGAAAATGATTACTGTGTGCTGCCAAATTCTGTTTATTGAAGTTAAACCCAAACTAAAAATTATGTTAAAAAAATCTTTTGAGGAAGTTTCCAGGTTCACTACCTGTTTGTGGACAAGCGGACCAGTATTGTTTTAAATGACTTACTGCAGCAATGGGATAGCTAGGTGGAGATGAATTTATGGTGCAGACAGAGAACAGTAAAACTGAAAGTCAGAATAAAAACAAATAACATTATTGTAGGTTGCTGTGCAATTGATTTTTGACAGCAAGTGCTTTAAGGACACTTTTTTTAGCTGACACAATCTTTATGCCTAATAATTTCAGTAAGAAACTAATTTAATAATTTCAGGAAGGAATTTGATAAATTTGATTAATTTGCTTCTGTTACAGTATATTACATACAGTATACAGTTTAATGCATTATTACAAATTGCACTGAATTCAGTTTTATTGACATATCAGTAAAGGTTAACTGAGTTTGACTTACTGTAGACTGTAAAGCGTTTTTGGCAACATGACAGTATTCTGTCACAAACTACAGTAATTGTTTCCTTAAGGAAACACCAGGTTAATTCATTTTTAATCTTTGGCAGTACCTTCCCTTCTGATTTCACTGTGGCATCAAAAGTACAGTTACTAATTTTGACTTCATGCTTATTAACAGTCTAGATTATACACTGTACAGTCTGTAAGAGTTGAAGGATACAATACAGAAAATCACAGCGAGTTGTAGAGTCGCAGCGCGCGCCCGTTACCATCAGTTGTGTAGTGCGACACCCCCAGCAACTCAGTCATAGCACTCTTAACAGCCCCTACAACTCTCTGTGACTCACTACAGTAAAATAAAAGTGGTTTGATTTTCTTGAAGCAAGTCGCAAGTCGTAGGGATGGGCAGTGAGCCAGATGTGTACTTGTGAGATAAGATGCCATTATATTACACGTTATAGCGCAATACTATTTTGTTTACAATATTTGTTTTAAAGGTGTTTTATATTTATAATAATAATAAACTTTATTTTATATAGCGCCTTTAAAAGTGGCTTCTCAAAGTGCTTTATAGAATGACAACAACAATAAATAAAAAGAATACACAAGATAAATCACAATTACAATATACAGATGAGACCGTGGATGGTGGTACTAAGAAAAGCAGAGGGGTGAAGAATGGAACCAGTTAAGTAAAGGCTTTTCTTCAAAAGTCAGTATACAATGTAGTCACCTGGTCATGGGAAATAAATCAAAGAAATGCAAAGAGTGTAAATCTGCAACAGTTGATTAAGATCACTTCAGATCTGGAGACCCTACCCTGCCTTTAGCAAACCTCTTATCCTAATGTTAGCATTAAGTTCCATTTAGTTTCATGCAAAATGAAAGCAGTAGATATATTTAACTTCTATAAAACTCTGTTTCATGAGCAATAACAATACCAACGAATAAGACTCTTTGTGAGGAATCTCTTAAGAAGTTCTGGCTTAATCTGCTTGGCTAAGTAACAGCCCCCTGGCCATTTGACAAGGAGACTCAAACCCTATTCAGGGGCATCTGAGATGGGGTGGGGGAGGGATGCATTAGACAAAATGGTAAAATAAGTGTTTGAGTGAAATAGATATACTGTATAAACATAGTGTATTGCTAATGTTGGGAATTGTTATGGCTTGAACAACTGGCTGAAATTGTCTTATTGTTATCTCTCCCAAACTTCAGTTTAAAACTTCCACCTGATGCCCTGTCTTTTATTTAATTTACAGTGTAATAGATGTGATTGACTTGTGTTATATGTCACAGGAACATATTGCAGCTTACCATAGATAAAATCTGTTTATCGGAAGCACATTGACACATGCGGATTCCTTAAATACATAGCAAGGACAAACTTTCTAAAACAGATTCTGGTGTGAATAAAGAAACTTATTTTATATCCTAGCACCCTGTGACTTGGATCTCTTTCAGACATCTTACTATATATAGCCTGCAACCTTTGAGCTGCATGCTTCACACTGTTTTAAATGTGGCTCACATTACAGCCATCCTAGGACAGGCTACCATTCGACTGGTTGTTTGGTTTAGTAATCTTCCAGAAATATTACAATACAGTCAAATTTTAAGTCTTTTCTCTAAGTTTCCAAGCTAATGGGCATAATATTAAAAATAACATTTATTCGTAAGTGATTTTTATGATGGTAAACAGTCCTGAATGCGAATGACTCATTCTTAAATTCTTGAAGTGGTTTTAAAGAAAGCAAACTGCCCAGCTCTTCAAGTGATCCTTGCCTATCTGCAACACAAGGAGGTGCTGTTACTATCTCTTCAGCAATTCTTTGCAAATCAACAGCCTCTCTTTGTGGGCTGACTCTTAAATCAGGTGATCTGAA